GCCATGAGGCCAAACTGTTTGCCATTGCGATCCTGACTGGAGGATGCAGGTTGGCGACGGTACTATACTTACCGCGATGGGTTAGCTCAGGCACGCGACACGCCTCAGTTGATTTCTACTGGATTGCCCCAAGAATCCCCGTCGGGAGACTTGACAATGCATCCGGACCAAAAAGGGACCAACCCTAAGGTCTCGTGTTGCGTGGCGTGGCGTGGTGTCGTCCTCCATTCTCATCCTACACGCTGACAGTGTTTCTACACACAGAGAGAGAAAAAGGGATTCTTAGGATTTAGGCCCGTTGAGTGGGTTGATCTTGAACGGCAGCGGCTGTCTTTTAGTGGCTCATCTGCACGCCACTTGCCCACTTCGTCGCATTTTCTTTTGATCTTGGCCTGCAGCCGGCCTCTCATATGTGAACTTTATCCCGTTAGATTGTTGGAGTTCTGTTGCTTTTGCCACGCCCCCGGGACAAGGCTGACGTCGTTTTCATTCTGAATAGGTTTCTTTATTGTTGGGCAATCTCGACCCTCACGCGATCGACTTGAGGCAAAAAAAAAATGAAATAAACTAAAAATTGAAAAAAGAATAAAAATTAACCCCCCAAAACCCAAGTCAAATAAAGGAAGCGGAAACCAAAAGGGGAAACCAGAGGTTAATTATCCGAACCTGAGTTATTGATGCTTTGCGGTATCGCCGAGGAAGAGCCGACATGCATCGCTGCAGTCGAATACGATTCTAACTCACCTCGGCCCCGATCGACAGATACCCATTGGCTGCGATGACCAAGTCAAATTACACGCTTATCAGCTTATCGCCGTTATCTCTCCAGGTCATCGTGGTTGCTATGTGGGCAATGGAATTAATATGATTATCAACCACTAGCGCGGTGGACCTCGCGGTTGTTCATCCCGTGGGGCCGAAAGACAACGAAAAGCAAACTGGAAGGAAACAAGGAAGACACACCAGGGAGGTGCGAACTGACAGCTGGTTCGAAAAGCTGTCGCTACCCCGCTATTCAGTACCCATTTGCCGTTCACGAAGCATGCACCATGCCTGGTCATCCCGCGCCTGTCTCATTTGCTTAACGGCCGTGATTGTTTTGGTTTTCTCAGACAGCCTTTGATTCTCTTGGCATGCTCGCCTCGACTCTGCCGTCTGGATGCCAGGATGTACCGGGGAGTGGGTGAAGCTCGATTTGCTCGTGCGCATATCTTGCTCTCTACGGAGTACGCTGAGTCTACACGACACCCACCCGGGGGTGTTGTACGAGAGGTATGGTGGTGGTGCTGACCTTCGCTGCGATCGGGTCAACCCGACATCTCAGGACAAGTTGATGGAGCAACTACTGCATGCATTGCAGCTTGATACCAACCGTGAAGACTTGTCTGGCTGAAATTAATCCCGACTAAAGTACATCTATCCGGACTGGGCATCCAGACACAAGACAGAAGCGACGATCGATCGTTGCTCCCTCGAACAAGATGACCAAAACCCCGCCGAGAGTGGATCCGGATTCATTTGAATCGTGGGTGCCCCTTGCTTGTTTCTTCGTCTAGTAGACATCATAGGACAGAGGAGGCTGTAAAACCGCGTAGACTGTCTAGCATGAGTGAGAGAGAAAAGAGGCTATTGGCACCGGGCCTGTACTTCCCTAGCGTCAGGTCGGTTACAGACGTGAAACGGGGTGACCATACTTTCCGTACCGCAGGCGGGAACCGGATGGATACGCACATCGGGTAAGATAGGAATGGAAACTCGCCGGTGAGACGAGGCATCCTACACAAAATTCAATTGATACAGCTTCATTGGTTTCCCAATCCGTCGTTGGGCCCCAGTGGCATTAACGATAATTTCGGCAATGTCATTGTATAGACTCCGATCGTTTCGTGGGGAGCTTGGAAAAAAAGTTTACATTCTACTCCGGAGTATACATCTAGTACCATTTCCCATGGAAACCCACCAATGAGCGGATGTGGTTTGTTTTGGCAAGGCACAAAAGTACCCCTTCAAAGGCCCTGATAATGATATACATGGAAAACGAGGACGACTAAGGATAAACTCTAAATCTGCCATGTGCAGGTGGGCTCCAGTCTTGTAATCATCCCAAGGAAGGGCCGAACGAAGGAGAGAGGTTCCTGTCTTCGGAGCTCGTCCGGACCAGACGGGTTGCCCGAGTGCTGGCTTCTGATTGAGTCCGCCCCGCCGGTAGCGCATGGGCCTTTGTCCTGGAGGGTATCAATTCTTCTCTGGTAGGCCGATGCCCGATGGCATCTAGCCGGTCTGTCATTTCTTCTCTCTGCTGATTGCCCCGGTCGAGACTGGAGTGGATATGACGAAGGAATCCGATGAGCGGAGAGGCCATTCAATCCCCCGGAAGCGTACCTTGGCCCTAGGAAGGAAGAGAGGGAGGGAGCGAGAAAAGGTAAGTATATCCCCTGTATGCATAATACGGGCTGTTATACGTTTCGACCGTGGACATGGACCATGAGCCCAAGGTCGGCCCGATGGTCTGTGTAATTGCATGCATGCAAGGCGCATTGTCCACGCTTTTCAAGAGCCCGCCCCCGATATTTGTTCCATCCCTCGTTGAGATCGTTCCTCTTCTCTGGTCGACTTGATTACTTTTGTCTCGGTCAGAAGCCGAAAGCTTCATCCTCGCATTTATCGGCCGGGTTAGTCAGATATTATTCATGGAGAAATTTCGTTGGTTACCATTGTCCGCCCCTGAACAAAGGATTCAAGAGTCCTTTCGGAATGGTCCCTCGGCTTCAGCCCTTGACTCACTGATGGTGGTCTGGGACTCTGGGTACGACGTTCGGGATGTGGACTACCAACTACCAACCAGAGAGGGATGAGGGTACGGTTCTCAGTTCATTCTTGTGAATCTTTGAAACAGGCCATCCGGAGCCATCATTGGCGGAGTTTACTCCCACATATGGCCGAACGGGTCCTGAAGTGGAATCCTTGATTTTGGATCTAAACTCATGAAGGAAAAGTACTACTAATACGTACCTGTGCCTCCTGTTAGTGCTAGTTCGTCTGTTGCATTTTAACCGTCGGTTAGGCAGAATGGATCCGGCCAGGTTTTTTTTTAAAATAACTACGGAGTATGGCTATGCTTTAGATTTCCCGACGTAGTGGTTGGGATGTTTCTTATGCTAGGTACATCGGGCTTAAAGCCGAATTTTGTGTATAATTCCAAACAATATAGGTCAGGATCGTGGTCCACCCTCCGCCAGGGATCAGGGTGTGGTTACATGCGAAGGATTCGCATTATTCTCATGATTATGTCAAGCCTTGTCTCTCTGGTGAAGGGCAGAGAATCCTGACGGGATTTATTTTATTTTAGCGCGCTGCAGCTTCGAGAACATCCCCGACAACGTTAAAACCACGAGCTAAAATGGGTCGCCACCGGAAGCGCTCGAGTCGAGAGGTCGGTCGGTACGGTATTGGTAATACCTGTGTTCGAGGTGGTGTCGTCTCCCCGTTGGTTTCAGTCCAGGAACTTAATTCCAGCGGGGGCCCAATATAATTTTTAATGATTCATGATACATCCATTCATCCATACCGATCCTGCCAGAGTTCGGTCGGCGTTGGTCACATAGGTTCCTCTGGGGGAGGCATGGGAGAATCAAGACAATTAGTCGGGAAGAGAAGAATGGAAAGCTCTTTCGGAAGGGGAGGATCATTCGAGGAGAGTTGAAATTAATTAATGCGAGGCTGCAGTATCCCTGCACGGATTTTCTCTTCTTATGGCGGGAACCAGAAAAAGTGACGCCGTGATTTTCTGGAAAAGGCAAGGATGTTTAGTTTCCCAGGATTATTACTGGTTCCGTATGTGTATGGGATGTATGGATATCATTCCGTATGGATACGCCCGTTTCCTCCGCCATCATCCACCACTCTCTCTCTCTCTTTCTTCCTTTCCACTCTCTGGACTTTCTCTTTTTCTCCCCTCCCCCCCCCGGTCTCCCACTTTGCTCGCTCTCTCCCAGTATCATTCTTATATTATCGGTTGGACCGTCCCATCAGTATCTTCCCCGTGAATCACTTTTGTTTTTTTTCTTGTATTTTACTTTCCTATCTGGGATTGCTCCTCAATCAGCTCTACTTCATTCGGCCATGTGCGTTTAGAGGGTCTAGCCCCTCTCTCTTTGCACTGACACTCTTACCTTAGACTGTCAGCCATACCATAGAAGCATCCCGGTATTAACCCAAACGAAAAAAAGAAAAGAAAGAAAAAGAATTTATTCTACCTTCGATCTGGACAAATAACAACCAGGGAAAAAAAAAAGCACAAGCGAAAGAGGGGCACCAAGAGGAGATTGAACGATTAAAACTGGGTCTGGGTTGATTCATGACATACATTCGTCGTCTTGAATTCCAATAGGTACGGACTGCTGCATTCCACTCGAGACTTTTTAGCTGCGTGTCCGTCTCCAATGGCTCTTCCTTTCCTTCCCTTTCCCTTTTCCTTTTGGGATAGATTGATTCTTTACCTAGTACCGTTTCCTTTTCTATATTGCAGTGGTGGTGGACCCATCCACTATTATTATTATTGGAATTTGATTTGGATTTGCTTGCTGTGACGGATCTCAGACCAAGTGCCTAAACTATAACTGACTTGGACCCCCTTCAGATCCTAGCTTCCCGATTCTTTTCCACCCAAATAACTGCTGCATCATCCTTCTTCCTGCACGCAGTGTTCGTTTAGGGCGGGTAGACTGGAATTTCTTCCTTGCGCCACGGACCAATCGCCCTCGACACTCTCATTCCTGCGTTGAGCTCCTTTTTTTTTTGGTCCCTCGACTCTCATTGCTTGTCTGGCTGATTTCTTGGACCTCTTCAATCGTCCTTATCTCTCTTCTCCCCATCCGGCTTGTGATTCCTATCTTTCCTTGTTTTTTTCCCCCCCCTCCTTTTTCTTGTTTGATCTCCCCCTCCTCCGTCTTATCGCCTACTATCGTGATCCCCGCCCTTCCCAATAAAGAGTAGGGCGTATGAACATGTCCGGGTTGACCCTCGGGCGAGGCCCTGGGGGCATGCGACCGACTCAAACCGCAACCTTTACCACCCACCACTCGTCCACCGATGCTGACCGCTCCTCCAACAACCTCCCCCCTACCTCCTCGCAGTTGTCCGATGACTTTTCTTTCGGCTCCCCTCTGAGCCCCGCCGACTCGCAGGCCCATGACGGCCTACTTCAGGACTCGCTCTTCCCCGAATGGGGGTCCGGTGCGCCTCGACCTGGCATCGACAGTCCAGATGAGATGCAGAGACAAGATCCGTTAGCGACTCAAATATGGAAGCTCTATTCTAGGACCAAGGCCCAGTTGCCCAACCAGGAGCGCATGGAAAACCTCACCTGGCGGATGATGGCGATGAGTTTGAAACGCAAGGAGCGCGAACGTGCTCAACAGTCCATGTAGGTTCTCCCTCTGCAGAGTAACGGGATGGCCCCGCTCATTTATTAACCTTGTGTCTGTGAAGGTTTCCTGTGAGACCTGGTAGCGCAGGCCCCAGTGGGATCGCGCAACTGCGCATTTCCGACCCGCCCGTTGCCACTGGTAACCCTCATTCGGCCGATTTGACCGCCGACCCGATGAACCTCGACGATTTTATCGTGCCCTTCGAATCTCCTTCGGACCACCCTTCACCCATTGCCATCAAAAACACCGACCCCACGGCGTCCGCGGCCATTCCCATCAAGTCCCGGAAAGACCAGCTGAGAGATTCGACCCCGGTGCCGGCCTCCTTCCACCACCCGGCCCAAGATCAGCGGAAGAACAGTGAATTCGGCTACGTCCCCCGTCGCGTGCGCAAGACGAGCATCGACGAGCGTCAGTTTTTCTCGCTGCAGGTGCCGACCCGGAAGCGACCGGCCGAATCCTCGCCGCAGGTGCCGCCCGTTTCCAACTCCATGTTGGCCCACGATCCGGAGCTCGCCACCGGCGTGCCCGATTATGCGTTGGACACTCCGTCCTCGGCCTTTGGCTTTCACCAGGGCAACCACCATCAGATGAATCACCACAACCACACCTCCCCAGGGGCGCCGTTTGGCTTGGATACGTTCGGCCTGGGAGACGATCCGATCTTGCCCTCTGCGGGCCCCTACCAGTCGCAATTCACCTTCTCCCCTAGCGAGTCTCCGATGGCCTCCGGCCATCCGTTCGCGAACCTCTATTCGCATACCCCAGTGGCTTCATCCCTTAACTCCACGGATTTCTTCTCCCCACCACCATCGGGCTACCAGTCTACGGCGTCCACCCCGCAGCCGCCTACGATGGGGACCATTCCGTGTACTTCGATATGCCGTCCGGCGACGCACGCACCCAACGCCGCATTCCAAACTATGTTTCGCATCGGTCCAACCTGTCCGCTTCGCTGCAGCCTCGGTATATGTTCAACCAGAACAACCATGAGCAGTCCAGTTCGTCCACCGTGCATTCGCCGAGCTACCCCATTCCCCAACCGCAACATGTAGATCCCACCCAGGTGTTGAACGCCACCAATTACTCCGCCGGCAATTCCCATGGCGGCCCCATGTTCACCTTTGGAGCCGATTCGGATAATGAGGATGACGATGGCCATCAGCTGTCAGAGCGGGCGGGTCTGGCGATGCCCACAGAGTTCGGGGACGAGAATGATGGATTCTCGCCGGGCATGCAGTGGAATGAGCAGTTCCCGGGCTCTTTCCACTCGCTGCCGGGCTTTGGCCCCCAACATCGCAAGCATGTTACCATCGGGTCGACGGACATGATGGACACCCCGGAGGAGTGGAATCATGGCAGCAGTTTGGGTCGGACACATGGGTCGGTGGCTTCGGTCAGTGAGGTGCGCAACCGAGAGCAGGACCCTCGTCGGCAGAAGATTGCCCGCACCACGTCCACCCCCAACACGGCCCAGCTGCTGCGCCAAAGCATGAACTCTAATAACAATACGTCTCATACTTCTCCCAATACTCCGCCGAGTCCGGGCTGAGCAGCGCCGTTCCATCTCGCCCGGCCAGTCCCGGGGGCAGCAAGAACGGTGATCCGGGTAGCAATGGACCAACGACCTGCACGAACTGTTTCACCCAAACAACTCCGCTGTGGCGTCGGAATCCGGAGGGCCAGCCACTCTGCAATGCCTGCGGTTTGTTTTTGAAACTGCACGGTGTCGTGCGTCCGCTGTCCCTGAAAACCGACGTCATCAAGAAGCGTAACCGCAGCAGCGCCAACAGCTTAGTGGTCGGGACATCCCGTACGTCGAAGAAGACGGCCCGCAAAAACTCGGTGCAGCAGGCATCCGTCACGACTCCGACGTCGAGCCGCGCTCAGAACGGGACTTCCTCCGAATCTCCACCCGCCGGCTTTGGTGCTGCCGCGGGACGGTCGAATGGGGTGGTACCCATTGCCGCCGCTCCTCCGAAGGCAGCGCCCTCCGCAGCAGCGTCCCCTGGCACGGGCCAGACTCGCAACCCGGTCCCGGCTGCCCCGAAACGTCAACGACGGCTGGAAAAAGCCTCGGAGATGGAAATGGACGAGGCGAGCAAGTCCGCGGGCAGCCGATCCAAGGTGGTACCTCTGGCGCCCGCCATGCCACCGGCGGCAGCCAATCCGGCCAACCATAGCATTGCCGGAGGCCAGGGAGCTAGCCAGGAATGGGAGTGGTTGACCATGAGTCTGTAACGGCAGCGTTCACTTCTCTACTTCTCTACACTCGTTTCTTAATATCCTTTTTGACCCCTCCCCTTTATTTTTCCCACCGTTGATGCTACGCCATGACCGATAGACATGATGAATACTGCAACCAATGGAATCTCGCTAGACGAGAGGTGTTAGATGACGTGGCCCGCGATGCACTTAATGAGATACGACGAGGTGCAATCCGACGGTTACGCTAGTTTAATGGTAACATGACGAGGGATATTCGTTCTGTTATTTCGGGGTTTGATCTGTTCCAGTCTGCGATCTAACAGCGACCGAATCCTTTGCTGTGACGATACACAGCTTGTCTTGTGGTTCTGTTGTGCCTTTCTGTTTGTTTGGCTGATTTGATTTATGCTTGATACAATCGCGTCTGTCCGGACCCCGGCCTTTGTTTTCGTTTCAGTTCTGATTCTTCAGTGGTACTGTTTTCCTGTTGTTTTTTGATCTTATTCGAGGCTTGGGGGCCGGGCAGAAGTGCGCATCTCTGCTTTGTGTTTTCTGTCACCGTTCATAGACGCTGTATGTATATGGTACAGCTTGATTCTACTTGTTTGATTGAGTCTTTGTATCCATTGTAAGGGTAGCCAACTGTCGAACATGCATAAGCTTTTTACTATATTTTTGTTCGGGTAATCCGCCACTAGTAGATGTATATTATGTTACCCACTGGGAATAAGTCATAGTTCCCCAGTCTCCATATATAGAGACGCTAGCTTGTAGCCCTCAATAAAGAATAATAAGGATATACTAGCCTCGTAAATTGACGTCATAAAAATATAAGCTTAAATAGTGATGTTCCACAACAAACCCCACCCGAAACAGCCGAGTAGGGGATAGAACAATAGCACCAAAAAAAAAAAAATAAAAAAAAAAAAAAAAAAAAACAACAACAAAAAATAATGATAAGAATAGTGGACGCAATATTTCAACCACTAACGATAACCAGAACCCACTACTACAATAAACTAAGATACAGCAGTACTCAAACAGATCCCACTCGCATATATAGTAGTAGTAGTGTATATTTAAGGTAGGGGCTAGTGTGGGCATACATACTACTATGCATGCAGTCATCGCATCCATGTCAGCTCTTTATACAAGTAGCACCTGTACCACTCCTACATATTCTTGACCGGATAGTAATTATAAAGGTGCTAATCCTGACGTTTTGTCACTCTATCGACACTAGCCTAGCACTGTGTACCAGTAGTAGATATACCACACTCTTACCTCCTTTAGAAATGATTTAGTGAACCAGTTATCTGGTTTGCATCTGCACCCTACTGAAGTGGAGTGGTGCCTACACCACTTCCTCATTTCCCCGCACGGATAGATACTCCTAGCTAGTGTCAATGATGCTCATCCGGTTTCGCTTATCTGGCTTATCCCAGTGGAGTGCGGAGTGGAAGTCTGTCACTTCCTTAGATTGACTTATAGTGACGCAGATTAGGGGTGTCGGACCCCCCCGTTACCTGTTTTCACTAAAATGTCGGTCACAGGTGACATGGTCGAACCTTTCTCTATTACCTTTTCCATCTGTGGAAGGGGTGCAAAGTTATATATGAGGTGGAATAGGGGTACCGGGTTGCTACGATCGTGGAGTGGTGGTACTTTGCATGTCAGAAGGTACCCAACATTTGCTATGCAAGACCTTTGTGGAATAAAGGAGTAGATGTACAAGTATCTGGTCTGTGTATAAGGGGCAACAAATTTTATGAATACGGCTACGATAATATAGCGGAAGGTAGATAATGGTAGTCGCTAAACAGAGTGTGAACTATATTAGAGGAACCTGTTAACGAAATCTGTTAAAGGAAAAGGGGTTAAATAGTGTTTGACTACAGGGAAGCCTTGCTCTAAGCCAAATGTGATCTATAATGGGTGGTGAAACGTATGGTGGGCACGAGAGACTGAGTAAAGATGAGGTTGGATCCCTCATCGGCTGCGAGGAGTCATATTGTTCTATCATAACTTCATAAAGGGTAATCTACAAAGTGACGCTCAAGCAGGCTCTTCAGATCAATGAGACAGTTTGAGAGCAGGGCTACCGGAAAGTGCTCTAATCAGCCATCTGGGGATCAAGAAACCATATAGTTCATAGTTCTGTTTCTGCGGAAGCGCTCTAGCATTTGTTGGCAGGCCGTAGCCCTGTCTTGGTTTGGTCCGAAGTTGGACCTACAGCTGAGGGAAGTTTTGCTCTAAGTATACTCATTCTTGGTATTCATGGTTGCTGTGGAAGGTAGTCTCGGACTGAGTTTGTTGATACAGTTACATGTTTGAGCCATATTGCTGTACCATGTCCGTGATTTATGGAAGGACTTTGAAGCGAAGCAGTGCTTGACGTACTCTATAGTATTAGTACATATCAATAGTATAAGCCCGCTCTTTCTCCCCACGAAATCACAGGTTGTACTATACCTCTTCCCTTATATCGTCAAGCCTCATACTCATCCAATAAATTATATTAGAGGCCACTCCGATACCCAGCTTAGGGCTATTGTATGCCAAATCGGGTAAATTAATACCTGAGGCATAAACATGACAAAGCGATCACAATCACGTGGTGATATCGAAAATAATTTGAAGATAGCAAATATCTCAGCTTCAATTATTTCCTCGCTCAATTGACTCTATATCCAAGACAGCTGGTCCTCTACTGTACATTGCTATACTGCAAACATACCTATATACGCATAAGTATAATTACCTGGATTAGCGACTGCACCTGCAACAGCAACCTCCACCATGGGATCCAGCGCGAAGAAAAAGAAGGAAAAGCAGAAGGACTTTACGGTAAGCCATTCTGTTGACAAAATAAACAGACATAAGCTCACAGAACACAGAAAGCCAAGCTAAAAGTCGGCAAAGCCAAAGGCAAGCCTGAGAATTTCACCGATACCAGTTTCAAATCGAAAGGTTCGCCTTATCTCCACCACAGCGCAGAGAGAAAAGAATCATCCAACTAACCAACCCAGGAATCGTGCTAAACCAACAATCCCTCACCTTAAGCGCCCCGACCTCGAACACTCAATTCACACATCACGTCTCCCTCCTCAGCTCCAAATCCGACTCCCAACGCCGCGACTCCCTCGCCCACCTAACAACCTCCATCAGCTCGCGACCCGTCAACTCTCCCCTCCTGCAACCAGTCAGCGTCATCCTCCCCACCCTCCTCCCCCTTATCCTCGACGCAAACACGGGCGTGCGCACCCAACTGCTCAAACTCTTCCGCGCGCTCCCGCAATCAGACATCCGAGACCACGTCCCCCAACTCCTCCCCTACATCCGCGCCGGCATGACCCACCTCGCGGCCGACGTCCGCGTCTCCTCCGTGGAAGTCCTCTCCTGGCTCGTCGAAATAGCAGGCACAGAAGTCGTCTCCAGCGCCGGCGGCTGGATCAAAACGCTCAATTGCTTCCTCTCCGTCCTGGGCTGGCACACGGAGGAATCGGCCAAGTGGTCCGCGAACCGAGCCTCGTTCGGAAAAGCAGGCACCAAGGGCCAGCCAATGATGAAGGTGCTCACTGTACTGGCCGAGTTCTTGTATGCGGGGATTGGCGCGCCCGCCAACGAAGCACAGGATGTGGATATGCTAGGTGCTGGGGGTGCGGCCGGGTGGGAGTTCCCCCTCTGTCAGACGGCTGTGCACATGGTTCCTGATACGGCGGCGCCGTATGCTTATTTGAATTTGTTCGGGCAGCCAAGGGACGAGGAGGGCGAGATGTACGAGACGTGGGAGGACCGGTATCGGGTGTTTTCGAACCGGTTTTTGCCGGCCATTCAGCGGGGATTGGATAACGCCAGGCAAGAAGGGGGTGAGATGGGGAGGGCCAGTTCTGGGGCGAGCAAGGTATTGAAGGAGGCTATTGCTTATGGGACGGGAATCGCGGTGTGATTGAGGTCTGGTAGGATTGGTTTTATCTGCGGTATTCACGATTCTGTGACGACGGTCATCTGAACAGCCTGTGCTGTGCCATTTATTATTCCGAACAGGCCATCCCGGCAACTTGTGGTTGCTGTTCCGCCGTCAATGCGCGAGATCAGGTCTCCAAGTCCACACAGCCTGCGCCTGGGCAGATAGCAGCGATATCACTCACACAGGGACACGATATAGATTCCTCCCACTACGGCACCTCATGAGGAGCATGTATTCATTTCATTTGGAGCCCAAGACAGAGCGAGCAGCATGTGTACAAATAATGAATATACCCCATGAATAGAATATAAAAAAGAAAGGAACTAAGACTCGACCTTCTTCATCACGCCCTCTTGATCATCCGTACTCCCCTCCCCGTCCCTAGCATCGTAAACCTCCTCCGGCATAACCGCGACCTCCACCAAGGACTCCTTCGCCGGAAACACCACCGACACCAGCACATACACAAGACTAGTGGCGACAAACCCCAACAGCCACCCAAACTGATACGGATGCACGCCGACCCCAACATCAATACTACTATTAACCGAATTAATCAACCCCGGCAGATTCGGCACCACACCGACCACAAACGCCAGGACAGCCCTCCAATTAACCCCCCAGCCCCCATACGCATACGTCCCATTCTCGCGCTGATACAACGCCAACGTATCATACTTCCGCTGCTTCAGCACCCAGAAATCAAACAACATGATCCCAGCAATCGGGCCCAAGAAGATCGCATACGCCGACATGAAGTTCAGGAAGTTGCCCGCGGAGACGAGGATCTTCCACGGCACCAGACACCACGACACCAGCCCGCAGATGATCTGGCCGCGCCGCAGATTCACGAACCCCGGCGCCAGCGCCGTCAGGTCGTTTGCCGCCGATATCGAGTTCGCCGAGATGTTGACCCCCAGCGCCGCCAGCGCGAAGCTGAAGGCCCCGAAGAACCGGCATGCGCGGCTCGTCCACTTGCTGATTAGCTCGATCGGGTCCCAGGGGATGGCGCCGCCGTATCGCGCTTGGCCTGCGCTCGAGGCAGCGATCCCGATGAAGGAGAGGAAGGTGAAGATCACGGGTAGCATGGGGATGTACAGGAGTTGCCATTTTGCGCTGACGCGCGAGTAGCGCGAGAAGTCGGACTAGTGATTATCTGGGTCAGTTTTGTACTGTGTGGGTGGGGGGAGGTGTGATAGTGGAACAGGGAAGGGATGGATTGATTGATTGATTGATTGATGTGTGGGTACCTACCTGGTTGACGCTGAGCGTGGCATAGTTGCCCAGTACGGAGGTCATGTTGGCGAGAAAGAGCCAGCTGTATTTCGACCCGGACACGGTCGCTTTCTGATGGAGTAGTCCGCCGCCACTCTCGGCGACAAACGCCCAGATGAAGATGGCGATCCAGGCAATCGGCACCAGCACGGATTTGACCATGAACAGCCAGCGGAGTTTATTGGGATGGATGCACAGGAACGGGAACTGCACGAGCCAGAAGATGAGGTACGACACCATGCCGTTCGTAGTGATGCCCTCGCTCTCGGGGATACCGTTCTCGAGCGTGAGGAAGCTGGGCCAGATGGCGCCGATCATGGCGCGCACCGCATTTGCGCCGTTGACGTTCTGGATCGCAAACCAGAACAGCGCCAGGATGACTCGCGACACGATCGCGATGTACGAGCCCCAGAAGCCCCAGCTGGCGCGGGCGATGACCGGGAATGGAATGTGGTAGATGGCGCCCACGGCGCCATTTCCGGCGATGACGAAGGAGATGATCAGGAAGGAGATGGCGACGATGATGAGCGAGTCCCGCCAGCCCAGGCCCACGGCTATCATGCTGCTGGCGAATTGCCAGGTGGCGGCGTTGAAGGCGTCTGAGATCCAATATGCTGGGGGAATGTTAGTGCTGCTGCCGGGGGGGGGGGGGTTTGGAAGGGTTTCTGAGACATACAGATGAAGCTCACAGGTCCCCATTGGCGGAGATGGCGGGGGACAGGGTCCAGGTCTAGGTTGGTCCACCGCGCATTTCCCTCTGCGAAGGCTGATCGGGACTGTTGGACGCGGAGATGAGGTCGGAGCTTCATTGCCGGCGAGAAATGTCTGTCGATACGTAGAGGGGTGTATAGTAAAGGGAATCGTAGTGGAATTCCACACCAAGCCTGACGATCAGCAATGAAAGATGTGCGATGCAAGGGGGCGGGGTCGATTAGGGCTCGATGCAACCCCAACTGGAAGCAGGAAAGAAATGCCAATAGTCCTCTGGATATGGGTCTAGATGTATGCAGGGGGCGTCAACTATCCCCCGGAGACTCAGAAAGGGCCACATGCGCTTGGAATAAATGACAGGAAGGAATTCGGTGGGCGTTCGTATGGATGTAATATGGAATGTGCCCCGATAAGGAAATGAGGAGGTCATCGTGAGCTGATAAGTCTGCAGCATCATCCCGGCTCCCTTCGTGCCCGTCATTGGCCGCTATGGCCACGAGCCAAAAGTCTGATAAGCATCTGTTGATAACCCTAATTCTGCGTGATTGACTCGTAGACTTCTTGATAGCGAGAGGATACTATTTTCTTGGCATGGTCGCTAGCCCTGACAGTCTATTCATCCGGAAATGGCTCAATTCCCGGCATATCAAAACTGTATCTGGAATAGATCGGCTGATCTCAGCATGTCTCCCAGTGAAGGTCTGTTCTCATGACATCGAGCTTCACTTCCTTTTGAAGAGCAGTTCCGGGGAGTGAAAGAAGACAGTAGTCAGTTGATGAATCTGTCACTGAATCTCTGGTGAATACCGCCTGCTAGAAGGGTATATCAACATATAAACAGTCAATCTACCCGCAACTGTTCGGCTTCTCTTCCACACTCGAACTACCAAAGGCATGGTTCAAGACTACTTGGTTGCTGTGCTTACTTTCACAGGATAGGTCTAGGTGGTGGAAGTCGCAATATAATTCTAAGACTTTCCTTTGACCTGCGGTTTCAATTACTGCTTTTGATCAAGACTTTGTCCCTGATATCTAAACACACTTCTTTAGGCAGCACGCTACATCCAACGGAAGCTAAGAACATTCAAGGATGCTGCCTTTCGAAAACAACAGTCCAGAACCCATATAAGGAACAATGGAGGATTGCGGTGGCATCTGGCCGCAACCCTTTAATTCATCTCCATCTGATGAGCAAGAGGATACAGACGTGATATAGACACATATACCAGCCGATCCGTCCACGGCACAGAGGCAGAACCAACCAGGCCACAGACATGACATCATTGCCTCCTCGAAGCCTCTACAGAAGAAACCCGTAAGACCAGGGGCAAACAATCGAAGCGGCTTCAGGATTTTGCATCAGAACCGAAAAGAGCCGTGGATGCTGTGACCCCGAATACTTGAGCATATTCGCGATGTTTCTATACTTTCAGGCCGTTAGGGCAGTGAGCCTATACTGTAGTCCATGAACTTAGGAGATACTAACTGAGTCCTAAAGTCAACTGCTTACCAGGTCTCCTGGAGGGGGATCTAGGGAGGTGTACACTGGCCTTGTTTCTGCCCTCCTAGTCGATTGGAGTCTGCTGAACTGCAAACTGACGATCCGTCTCAAATGTCTAACGCCAAATCACCCAGTATAAATACTCAGCTTCTAACGCGATCACTAGTCCCAGATAAAAGCCATTTCTTCTAGCTTTTATATCTCCTTTGCTTTTTTCCAAAACAGATTCTCCTATTACAATGTCGTCCCACTGGCAAGAGTATCCATAACCATTATCTCGACTACCCAGCATCCCGCAATGATCTCCACCATCTTGACATTGTCGAAGAGGGGGCAATGGAGTCCCCCCTGCTAAATCTGTGCTGATGGCTAGCTAGTCAATATGTGAAATATCTTTGTTGCTCTAGTGCAGCGAGGGCCCGCTATCTTGGGTCCACTGGACAGGTTCGCAACCCTTCTCTGGCCGAGAGTTGCGGTTAATCCGCGAGCCGGTTATTAGGTCTGTCCGCTGGGGCACAGCCACCTCTCAGTGAGGAGTGTTCTGCATGCCGCGACCAGAGCGCGTCTCTGCCGTTCGTCGGATGCATTCTGGTAGATAGGGCCAGAAGTGCAATTGGAAATGAGGTGCATTAGCCGTATCACCTAGCTTCTCTTCAACGAACAACCTATCTTTGCATCTTGGAAGCAATCATTACACGAACCCTGCGTCCTTTCAACGAGCAAGCCATGAGACAACTGAGCGATTCCAACAAGCTTATCAAAGAAACGAGAGCGGTATTCCCATCAAGGGCCCTTTTTTGCAGATCCGGCCCGAAGAATAATGGCTCTGTCCACTGAGTACAGGCGAGAGCGACTATGTCTCTTCGCATGCGGCGGTGGAAGCAATGGCCGATGACGCCTGGTTGCGCCAAGATATCTGACTCCGTGGCTGCAATGAGTAGCTATGGAAGATTCCTGACGAGGATGTCGAATACAACAGCAACAACAGCTCTTTTTTCTTGTTTCTGTTTCTGTTTGTTTGTGCAGTTCGATCTGCCTTCCAAAAGGCTTCCTGGGGTTCCCCTTAATGGCACCGAGCGCAGTACAAGTCGAGCTCTTACGCCTTCCTAAAGGACCATTATCATGATACTCCTTGAAGGGCGCCTGCTACTAGAGAGAAGATACTTGTTATTCCGAGCCATACCCTAATACATCGAAAGGGACTTATGTAGACTGGGTATGTCAGCTACTCACCCGTGTAAGTCAGGGCAATCAATACAAGCAACAAGAATGGTATATTCTACGGAGAAAATTGGCACGATGGATGGGTGGCATTAACTCAAAGCGTCAGGTTGATCAGACACCACTGGTCTATGCTATCGCGAGATTACCCCTGGTCATTGTCTTTCCGTCTTGACATCACAGCTAAGAAGGCTGACGTTGGGCCTGTTGGAGCGCAGTGCCAAGATGAATTCTACAGGGTGCTTAATATGGCTGCAGGGGCGGGGCTCCCAATTTACTCAGAGTGGTATAGAACGAAGCAAGGCGGGTTGGATTTCTGGATACCTGGGAATATGTGGGCCATCGAACTCCGTGACTATGATCAGATGGAGGAGCATATCTCGAGGTTCCAAAATGAAGAAAAGAAAAGCACTATTACTCGAGGACTAAGGCTGGATACATTCCCTCCAGCCGTTCACCGAGATCAAAATAATAAATCTCATCTCTATTAAAAAGGACCCAGATATACTTGCTATAAAGAGTTATGCAGGTATCCGATCCCGAAGAAGATCACATACACGGTTTCACCTGTTATGGAACAAAGTACTGCACCAGAATCTTTGTGATGGTAACGGGGCAGTAACGAGTACTGGGGATCCTTCTACACCCTCCAAACACATCCATCGGGCAAGATTAGAGCTCGGCGAGGATATTATGATCCTGCCGAAGTGGCTCTCCTACTGGACGATGAACTGGTTTGTTGGCTTGTCGGGTGCATTGGTGATAACCAGGAGTCTCGACTTCATCTGCAAGACCATGACCACTGTTACGGAGTGCATGGCATGATCCAACAACTACAGAATATAATTCAACCCCGCTAACCATAGGAAGGAGAGGAACAGCTACCCTTAGCTGTAATACAAGAGACTGCTGCTGCGCCAACCCTGTGGCATTCAAGACGTCTGCATACATGTGCAGATTGTCACCTGGATGGAAACTCGAATGCCCTAAGCTGGATGGACACGTCGTCGGTCAAAGTGAATTGCTGCGGACCGCATGGAGGGGAAGAAAATTGATCAACTCCAATCCAATGTCGTTCCGGAACAGGGGGTTATGAAAAGCTTGTATTGGAGGACATTTCCAACTATGGTATAAGGCACCTACTCTGGGGCTTAGGCGATACAAGGCATTTTACCTAAAGACCAACATTACCTACGAGTTGCCATTCGCGGGCCCTAGAACCTACTGAATAGCGCACTGAATAGTCTAAGCTCACCGTGTGCCTTACATATGGCAAACGAACCGTACAGGCGCCGGTGGGCGCTTCCGGAAGAGTCCACCAGGAGTAGGATGTGGTACCTCCGGGGTAACCACGGCATCGCGCCGAAGGGCTGCGACAGAAGCCTTCATCTCCTGCATAGCAGTTGTCTGAGTCTGCATCATCTCACGAAGAGAGCAAATGCTTGTGTGCAGATCCTGCATCACAGCTGAGGTGGTAGCAAACTCGTCCTCAAGGAAGGAATCAAGGGTAGCGAAGCGATCTTGGATAGCAGAGGCTAAATCGGCGAGTTGGGTTCGGACTCAACCGAGGGCCCCAGCCTGCTGGGCACTGCGGATCCAGAGCATCGACGTCGAATGAAAGATGAATAGGGGTAGTGAATCCTATAAGCTATTACGATTACCCTGCTAGACCGTCATATTATCCTCTAAACATAAAAAATATATAGATATAGAAAAGGTAATAAAAAATATGATTAGTAAAGGAATGAATATAATCAATCTTATAATTCAATACTGTAAAGTGAAAGACCAGAACTTGACGTATTATTAACTTACTAAAATATATCATATTGTCACGGTCTCGCAGTATAACTATCTATATAAGGTGCGATCGTTCCAAGCAGCTCAGACCCTAAGGACTCGTATCCATCTTGTCCAGGTTTCTCGTCTCCCTTGCGGAGCACCATTGCATCCTACGGTGTTCAGCAGTGGGTAGCCTCTTTCAGGGGCTACTATTCTTTCACCAGCGACCAATTGGCAGGACTACGTCTATATTTGCTGGTCAAGTCTATCTCTTTTCAAAATCTACCACTCGCCAACCAAGGGGTGCTCAGCTTTACTTGTTGGACAAAGTATACCAACTATTGAGACGATATTGTCCAGTTTGCAAAACGTACCCCGGACATACAAGCAGGCACCGTCTGCAACATACCAACCTATATTCACAGCTGCGAGTACATATACCCTACAATCCATGACTTCATTACCCTCATAACGGGCCATTAGTACTGAAATAGTAATAGCCAGCAGGCCCATCCGGCCAGGTCATATATCTGGGCTACAGACACCAAACCCGAAGACCCACCAACTTCCCAGCAAAGAACTGCTCATGGTGCAGTCTAACATAGTGCGTGTTGCGAGCCCATTTTCGAACACGATTTCCCTCCCGGAACAGATACAATGAGGGAGATTCATGAAGGTCTCAATGCAGAGGAAAGATTTGAAATGGAAATTGCTTGGATATAATTCCGGGGCTTACTACTTGACTAACCATCAAACAGTCTTCAAACACAGGAGTTGCCCTCGTGATAGAATCCTTCGGTCAAGTACTGAGACTAAGAGGGAATCGACATATAACTTATATCCGTCTCAACAATCATGGGTACATAAATATAACTACCACTGAGACAATCTACAAGGTACAGCAGGTCAAGGACCCGACGGTTAAAGATGAATGCCCCAGACTCCAGAGATATGGCAAATGAGAATCGGTAGGAAATGAAAAATACCACAGGACGTACAATTGGCGCATCGAGTGCGCTAGCCACAGGGATGCCTCCGGGTTAATTATATTCGCGGAGTTCATTACCTGGTATAAGATCTGTTTACCAAGAGCAAGACATCGGTATATAGAGTCTATATTACGTTTTGTTTTATATTGAAGGAGGCTAATAGTCTCTCCTATTATACAGATATCCCAGGACAGGGTGATACACATCCAGGACTTTAAGTGAACTTTTGAAGATTCACTTATTAACCCGCCCCCTGCGTAACATGATCCTAACCTTGAATGGAGCCTATATCTCAGGGACAGCAATCTTCTGATACCACCGTCCTTTGGCATGTTCTGAGCAGGGTTGTTTATCAATAGCTTATGTCCGGCCGTCATACAAGGATAAGGAACGCGTACTGGGAATGCTACTTGTGCCTGTTTAGGAGAATATTCGCCCGGGTAATGAGGTCTTTGCGAGAGATAGATCTACTGGCTTCCATCCGCGGACGAAAGTGACGAATGTATTATAATTACTGGCAAGAAACAAGACAATAGTAGAAGAGGGAAATCTCGGGAAAGGGTTGCATTGGTTGTTTCTTGATATGAATCGTCATCGAGTTATGGGAAATAGAGGATAAAACCATTTGTTTAGCAAGTTGATTTCGAACTATCTAGGATTCTTGTAGTCTGGAGACATAGTTGACCAGTGAAGCCTCTCATCCAGGCTTTAGGTGTCTAAGCTTCAAAGTTGGACCATTCGCCTGGTCTTCTGGCCGAGTGACAATGCCACCAAATCTAGAATAGAGAAGCAGGTATGTCACACTCCTGTATGGTCCATGGATAATCACTATACCCAAAACCAAATCATGATATATATAAAAGTTCAGCCCATCAAAACATCAGTTTCAAGAGGAAAACTGCGCCAATCATCCCACCAAGCGTTTTCCGATTCCATCCCCACCACCTTCGGCCAAACACTCCTGAAAACCGCCTTCCAGGGTTCCAGAAAACTTGGCCCAAACAGAGTCTTCCTATAAGGACACGAAGCCACTTGGGTAGCCATCACTTCATGCCGACGATCATCGCGTGAATTCCGCTCGACTAGCCACGCGCAAGGAAATATATGGACCAACTGGCTGAACAGGGTCTGTGTTTCAAAAGCACTACATTGCAGTCGAATGATCATCCTTTCAAGAAGTGGTGAGCCTACGGCCTTATTCCCGGCTATAGTTTCGAAGATCGAACATGCGAGACTCGAGTCTATGGCGCAGTTTCTGAATAGTCGTTGGACGTGGCCGTTGCGGCTTCGGTAACAGCCCCCTAGGTCCTTGATGGAGATTTCATTGCCGAACTCGTCGAATGATGGCTCGCTAGGTGGCTTGGTGTTTCTATTGGGGAGTGGATTGCGATCGCGACGGAATTCTTGTTCGGGGTCTGTTACCATGTTATCTTGGCTTGTACCGAGGGATGCATCGGATATGTCTAGGTGTAAGTGCAGGTATTTGAGATGTGGTAGGGTTCCTATGGCCTTGTAAAGGGCAACTTCGGTCGCGTCTCCCTGGGAGCGCGGGATCATGAGATCCAGGCTTTCCAGGAGTGGACAATGTTCTCCGAGTTGGAGGATGTCGCGTTCAGTTAAGCATTGCCAGGCCTGGGGACCTGCGAGGTCCAGCCTGCGCAAGCAACAGCCATGGTGATGACCTAGCGGGTCCACAGAAACCTGTGAGTGCCACCCTTCAAAGTATAGCTCCTTCAGTGGCGGGAGGCTCTTGATAAAATGGGTTGCAGCCTCGTAGAACTCGGTGGTAGGAGTGTCCTCCTCGAGAAAAGCATGGGCCTTGACTTGTAAATAGAGGACTTTTAGCTTCGGAAACTGGAGCTGCTGAGACCAAACCATTAATGCCTTCGGCTCGGCCAGGGAGCAGAGCTCAAGGGTTTCTAGCTCGGAGAATCTGGTGTGCCTGCCCCATTCAAGGAGTGTCCTAGCTGTCAAAGGGACCTGGTCAATTATTCTCAGGAGTTTCAACGATGCAGGAGACAGGGAGGTACCGTCCTCGTCCGTCTTGGGCTTTCGCAAAGGACTAGTTATAGGGGCAGATGTGAAGGTCTTCCGCGCTTCGCGACGGGTGACTTGTACTTCCTTCAAATTCGGGGCCGACTTGACCAGACGCTGGATAGTCTTCATTCGGTAGCAGGGGCTGTTGTCATAGCCACACACCCCGTTTTCATTGTACTGCAGCATGATACTATGCAAGGCCGGCGAGAATACCAACCTGTGCTCTTGGGAGTCTTCCATGAGTGCATCCACACCGGGTAAGGAGAATGTCTGGAGATGTAGCCGCGATCGGGGCGCGCAGTCATGCAAGGCATCAAGAAGACAGGCAGGGAACTGGCCGCCGCACCTGAAGAACAAGTCTGTCAGCGCAGGCAGATTTCTAATCAACTCTGCCACGGGCCTCCATGCATGATTCCGTCTGTCGCTTAGCCTAGCGTCTGCATCGCGGGTGTTTGGGCACCATGGTGTCTCCTGCAAGCCTGCAGCACACGCAGGTTCGTAGGGCTCATCCAGATCCGTGCGCCTCAGGTCAGTAAGCTTCGGCGGACACCAGTCAACACGCACCTTACAAGAGACATCCGCCTCGCACGTGGAAAGGCTTTCTTCAATGATAAGCCGACGGACACAGTGGAAGCTCCTTGTCTTGTCAAGCCCGTTCACGATCTCCTCGGTCGATTTCGTCAGCGCATAATGCCTGCATACCTTGATTGCTATATCGCGGTAGATTATAGACCTGGCTGCTATGCTAGCGTGATTGTAGAATAACCTGCTCACTAGTTTAAGATCATGGAGACTCGTGGGTCCGTCACTGACTAGAAGTGTAAATATAAGTCTGATAAGCTCGGATGGCAAGCGCCGGAAGGGTGGAAGGCCCTCCAGATTCATTGTGGTGGTTTTGTGAAAGAACTTTGTGTGACAGTTCGAGTCCAGACTCTGTATATAACTAGGACAGCTTTGTCAAATCCTCTTCGGAAGGGGGGAAAGGTCCTGATCGAGACGCATATCTCCGGTCCGGTGAGAGTAGAAAGGGTTCTTCAAACGGGTTTGGCTACACTCGATGGATCTTGCTGTCCAGTTGGGATCGAAGGTAACGGCGATGTGGGCTTCCTTATGTAGGAGTGTTTCCGACAGACATAGTCGGACCGTATGGATATCCAGTGTGACCTTGAATGGCATTGTTTTCGCGCGTTTATTGACCCATTGTTAGACAGACAATTCTTGGTACATACCAACCTATCCAGCAGGGATCTCCCATCGATGTGATATTCATCTTATATTACGACGGCCGCACTGGTCAGGATGGGTCTTGACAGTGTTGCCCTGCTAACGACTACCCATGTCATATCGCATGTACTAAAGATAAGTTTGCACGGGAATCAGCACTGGGCCGTCTTTCACGGAGATCCATCCGAAGACGACCGAAGAATGAATTATCTAAACAATAAGCAGACAAAGAGTTACATACATGGAACAAAGAACGCCAGCCACTTTGAACCTACATAACAAATCACATCAGGCCGCGAAATCAATAGGCGCCTAAGAATCTCCAATATTATGTGCTCTGGTCATAGACACCTTCTCGAACAGCAGCGTAAACACATCAAATGGGTATCTCCAATGGCTGAAGAGCCTGAACCGCGTCGTCTGCATGAATTGACGGCTATTCCCTCAAATCTGGGAAGTTCTGTACATACTCTTCCATTGTTTTGCAAGCGATCTACTTAGTCCTGATTCCATTTACGCATATATATATACAATCACTCACCCTTCACCCGTTCTCGCGATGAATCTTGCCACGCTTGAGAGAACATAACAATGTCTCGTCTCCGAGACATGGTGAACAAAGATGAGATCTCGCTTCCAATGCTGGCTCGTATTCTTTCCGCAAGCCAAGTAGGAGATGTGTCATGCCTTGGTGGCCGTTCAGAAGGCTGAAGCTGTTGGGGAGATTGTAGTTGAGCCGTGGGCCCTGCTTCGGAGTAAATATATCAAGTCCTATTTTATAAACTATGTAAATGGAGGTGTTTTCAATTTTAGTAGCATGCTGCATTATGATAATACTTAAAATATTATCTGGTGGTAAGATTAATTCTACAAATATAATGCAGCCCGCTGCGTCGCGGGACTTATATATAACCCCACACCCTTAAGATCGATATCAGACCAGCAAGAAGACAGCAGCATTCTATGCACACAAGAAAAAGCCCAATCCAATCCGAAACACAATTCAATCTCCAAACACCACGCTATCAAACCCAATTCTTATCACGCAATCGGCCTTACAATGATGAAACCCTAGCTAACACTATCTCTCCGCACCGCTCCCCAACGAACATACTAATCCATCCCACCCTCGAGACCAACCACCATCTTAAGAAACAACCCATAGATAAAAAGAATATAGAATATAGAATATCACGCATCAAGCGGACCCAATGACGAATCTTGCCCCTGCATAATACGACAATTCTACCGACAGCATCGGCTACTTATCTACCGGTTACGCGATGATACTTGCTGATGGCGAGATTGCGGGGTCGACGGTCATCAATTCATATTGTGAGTGTTCATGCAGGTATATAGATGGGTAGAGGTACCTGGAGAGACAATATATATATATCCAAGCTTAAACAAAGCAATCCCAACCTACATATCGAAAGATAAGACAGCGCACAATGGGCGACATCAGCGCCCAGTCAGACCATGCCAATGGCACAACCCCCAAGAAACACATCCTGTTGAATGCGTTCGACATGTCCACTGTCGGACATTTATCTCCTGGACAATGGAAGGTATTGATCCTGCGTTTCTTGCTCTATTCTGAACCCACCCCACATCCAAGATGGACATGAAACGATGCTAAAGAACCAAGAACCCCGCCGACAAATCCGCTACAAAACGCTCCCTCACGTACTGGATCGAGCTGGCCAAGTTACTCGAGCGCGGCGGCATCAACGCCCTCTTCCTCGCGGATACCTACGGCGGATACGATACCTACGAGGGCAGCTTGGACGAGTGTATTCGGCGCGCGGCGCAGTGGCCCGTTACGGATCCTACGATTGTATGTTTGTTCCCCCCCCCCCCTGTTCTGGGTATAGACCTACCGGTGTTGGTGTGGGAGTTTTGGTGGGAAGACTCGTGCTGACGGGTGCCATGCGGCAGCCCATTTCGGCCATGGCGGCGGTGACGAAGAACCTCGCGTTCGGGATCACGGCGTCGACGTCGTTCGAGCCGCCTTTCTTGCTCGCGAAGCGGTTCTCGACACTGGATCATCTGACCAATGGGCGCATTGGCTGGAATATCGTCACGTCGTGGAAGAAGGCAGCGTTTAAGGCCATCGGATTGGATACGCCGATCGAGCATGATGAGCGGTATCGACAGGCGGATGAGTATCTGAGAGTTGTTTATAAGTAGGTTCTCTCTCTGTTTTCTGTTTCATCTGCGTGGGTTGAAATGGGAAGGGAAAAAGGAGAAGAAGAAGAAGAAGAAGAAGAAAAAAAAAAGACCGAAAGAATGCTAAGAAGATAGACTCTGGGAAGGGTCCTGGGCATCCGATGCGCTCTCCCCGGACCCCGAAACCGATACCTACGTGGACCCGGCCAAGGTGCGCCAGATCAACCACAAGGGCAAGTATTTCGCCCTGAACACGCGTCACATTGTCGATCCGTCGCCGCAGCGCACGCCGTTCCTGTTCCAGGCGGGCACGTCGGCAGCGGGGTCTGCATTCGCGGCGACGCATGCCGAGGCGATCTTCGTGTCGAGTCATTCGCCAGCCGTGCTGCGGCCGAAGATCGATCACATTCGGAAACTGGCGGCGGAGCAAGGGCGGGATCCGCGGTCGATTAAGTTCTTCGCAACGTTCACGCCGATCATCGGGCGCACGGATGACGAGGCGCAGGCCAAGTATGAGGAGCTGAAGAAGTATGCGTCGGTGGTCGGCGGGCTGGTGCTGTTTAGCGGGTGGACGGGCATCGATATCTCGCGGATTCCGCTGGATCAGGATATCACGGCGGCGGATTCGTTGGAGGCGCACAAGGTGACGAGCATGTTAGATGCGTTCACCACGACCAGTGAGGATGTCCCCCAGTGGACGCCGCGCGTGGTGGCTCAGAAGGCGGCGATTGGGGGCTTGGGACCGGTGGGCATTGGGAGCCCGCAGCGGGTGGCGGACGAGATGGAGCGGTGGATTCGGGAGGCCGATCTGGACGGGTTCAATCTGGGATATGTGACCACGCCGGGCACCTTTGAAGAGGTGGTGGACTTGTTGATCCCAGAGCTGCGGCGGCGGGGATTGTATCCTGCCGCGGGGGCGGAGGCGGACGGGCTGACGGCGCGGGAGAAGGTGTACGGCCAAGGCCAGCGCGAGTTGCGCGCGGATCATCCAGGGAGTCAGTACAAGTACGAGGTGTATCAAGAAGACGACGCAGCTGTTGCTGAAAGGGAAGGGTCATGATGCGCAGATAGAGCGATAGAGTTGCAGTCCGGACGCCTTGTCTTTCCGAAAGCTTACCATTTCGTGAGTTAGTGAGCTAGTACTAGTAGTTCGTTCGTTCGTTACTTACTTCCTTCCTTCCTGTTTGTTGTGGCCCGATTAAGCCTGACAGCCACAACGCCTTCTCCGTCACCACTGCCGAGGGCCATCCCTAACCCTAATTGTCAGCCATGGCACAATCTAGATGACCGTCTGTCGGGGCGTTCAAATCCCGTCTGCGTCTCTCCACGGACATTTGATACACCTTCTCAATCGAGACTACGACTCTCCCCAAACCAGGAAACAAGATGAATCGGTGACCTGACAAGATACCAGCCGTAGCCCCTAGTCTAGACCGGTCGCTGCAGGACACCACCTCTGTCTCGTGACCCCTTTCTCCCCTCTCCAGAGAAACCTCCGGCTTTTCAACCCTGGGTTCGGGGGAGACCAGACGAAAGAGGCCCCATCGCATGGCTATCATGTGACAGCCCCAGATTATTCTCTGGCCACAAGGGACTCCACACACACGCAACATACATCTCCTTTGCCGCGATCTAGAACCGGAGAAAGTTAACCTCAAATCCAATTCACCGCCGTGTCCTCCCCCCCCCAATCATCCCTTGTTCCGGTCAAACATGCCTCTCGTCCGCGCTAGGACGAAGAAGGTACGGACCTTTGGGGGGGAACACAACCGAGTCGCACAGGCACTAACATCCTTAGTCGCTCCTCCTACCCGATCTTCGCATCCTGTGGTATTATGCACGGTCGTCTGGGTGGCTTGACCTTAACTTCGTTTTAGTTCGTTCGTGAGGGTCCCAAAGTGACAGGCGTCGTGCAGGGGACCAGGGGGGACAGCAAAACGAAAGAACAAATCGGCTTTCAACCAGGGGTGATAAAGGTGTCAACAGTTGAATGAGGTAGGATCCTCGAGATGCATCCTACTCGACTAGGACGATTTGGGATCGATGGACGAATCCATTGCAGGAGGAGGGGAAATACTACCGTTGATTCATCAGGACGAGGGACGTCCGTATAGTCAGAAGGCACGCAAACAACGCACCATTTCACTTTGGACTGGTCGAATTAATTTCCTGGACGAGGGGAGGGGGGGGGGGGAGGTCGAGGTTCATTCCCCATCCTGTGCCCCCGTACTTTGTGTGTGTCTTATCAGGAGTATTATTATGATTAATATTTTCTTTACATTTATTCTCTCATCGAAACAAAAAAAATACGCTTTTGCGTGCTGAGAGAGAGAGGGGGGAAGGATGTAAACTCTATACGCCCGTACAACCAAAGTTTGAGATGCATTGGCATGTTCGGACGCAAGGCGGTTTCGGATGGGCCGAGTTGTATACTCTCTCTCGCCTTTCCAGTCATAGATTGGGTAGGAATCCCTACCCAAGCATCGATCCAT